GAAAGCAGCAGACCTTCCTTTATCAGAGATATTCTGTTTTATTTATTATTATTTATTTATTTGTTTGTCAGACCAAATGTTGTTGTTGTTGTCCAAATCCAGGTACAAATGAGGAACTATGAGGGATTGTAAAAGTGTATTTAGCATGATGATAATGATTCAGTAAAAGTACTGTTGGTGCCAAGATATTTTTGTTAAAATTGGAGTAGTAAAATGTAAAAAGTAAAATTTACTTAAAGGAGCATTGTGTAGGAGTTAGTGGCATCTAGCGCATATACAGTAATATAAAACATACACACACACACATATATAATATATAATATTATATTACATTTCTGACAATAGATCATGTCACACTGGACCCTTGAAAGCATGAAAACAGGAGTAAAATTGTCCATAATTAAAAGTATAGACAGGAACACTAACGTAATTTAAGCTGTCAGCATAAAATCGAAATACTCAAATCACAAATTTGTACTTTGGTAGAGTAATTGAGTAAAAGTACTTACTGGTCTTTTTCTCGATCTGTTTTTGTGCTGTGTTCGCTCCTTTTCCAGGTTTACAAGCGTGAAGAAATTTTATGTGAAGAAAACTAAATTAAATTGCTATTTTTAAAGTTTAGATTACCATTTAATATCTATGTTTAAAGTTAAAAATATGCAGTTAAAACCACCAAAGATGCGTACGTCCATGATGAGTTAGGAGTTAAACTGCGATGGTAAGTATAAATACTTCAGATATATCTGCTTTATTATTCTAACAACTTTTTAAATTTTTATACAAATATCTGAACTTTGTACTCCTTACATTTTCAAAACAGGCTTGTTACTTTAATTTGAATGCATCGGAGAGGAATAATCAATTATTCTTATTATTTTATTATCACTGCGCCTTCCCAACATCAAGACTGGTGCAAATTCTGAATGACAGATGTAACAAGACGAGAAAGACGAGAGAGGGAAGTTTCTGTTAGCTCAGCACAGAAAAAGCCTGTAGAAATGAGAAACCAAGAGAGTACTTGTACTTTTGAGTACATTTTCACTTTTACTTAAGTAAAGTACCAGTACTTCTACTTTTCTGGTCTGTTCACACAAGTATCTGCACTTCTACTTGAGTAGAGTGTGCTTTCACCACCTCTGGTGGAGGCAAAATGGTTCAAAATCACTGCAAACGTGGCTCCAAACAGGAAAAGAAGTGTGGACCAGAAGGACTCTTTTTTTCACTAAATTACACCCAACAATAAATTATCTTCTCACTAGGAATGAACCTTCCTCCTGTGTGAGCTGTCTGTAGCTGAATAGGGTCGGTCATAATGCTGGTACTGGGAGAGACTGATATTGTCTGGGTTAGAGGATTCAGACAGTGCTTACCCTTCTTGCTGTAGGTGTTGTTGGGTGTTATGTCCAGCAGGGGGCGGCAGGGTCGTCTCAGAGGTTTATCGTACGCTCCACAAACTCTGCTGTCCGGATACAACGAGCAGCTGAAGAACGCTGCAGAGTCTGCGTCTCTCAGGTCAGCGACGGAGCACTGCTGCTCAGCATCGCAGCCTGAAACACACAAACACATAGAGACACATGAGGAAATAGTAGTGCTGCCCCCCAATGGTCCACTTAATTGTTCATTGTAGTTGTTTGAGTCCCAGTGACACTTTCCATCAGTCTGACTGTCTCAGAGAAACCAAACTAACCTTAAACTGCTTTGTTTCAGTGAAGCTGAAAGTTAGTTTGGCTTCATCTTAATATGCTGTGCACCGATTTTGGTGAAGATTAGATGAAATATGTGCCAAAAGACGCAAAAAAAATATGCCCTCTATCTAAAGCACTGACCTATGCCCTGTATTTACAGCACTGTAAGTCTTCAGTCTTCTTGCTTGTTGTTCTGACACATTCATACACATACTTTTTCTGTTAGCGTTTAACAGGAGGCTGTTCAAATATAGAAATTTAAATCATTAAATTAATATCATGACAATTAGTCAACTATTCTTTATTCAACTACTACTAGTCAGCTAGGACAATCTTTAGTCGGGAGCAGAACTAGATATCGCACAAGATGTCTATTGTTTGTTAGAGTATGTGACGTACGTGTTAGGCACCAGAGCAGCGCCTGCTGGGAGTCGTAGTTCCTCTTGTTGAGCCAGAAGGAAAGAGTGGGGAGTTTCCTCTGAGGATCCACAAGGACGTCGTCCTCAGAAAGCGACTCAAACTTCATCTGTACTGATTCTGAACATAAATACACAAAAGCAACACTGTCACACATCTGTGGTCACTCCAGCTGCAAGCAAGTGCATTTATCTGACAGCTTTTTACAAACAAACATATGAAGAGTTTATAAAATGTCCCTTAATCAATTATTTCAGTGGTTCCCAACCTTTCCACTTAAGGGACCCCTTTTCTGTCACTGAGTAAACTGATGACCCCTGACTGACTAATGGACACAAACAGTAAACACAATAACTGCAGGACGTTTGTGTAAAACAAGATATTTGGATGAATTATGAGCAGATTATTTCCTGTAAATTTAACATCAGTTTTCCTGATATTTTTTAGGAACTTTCTATACAATTCTCTCTGCATTATGTAATATTATGTATAATTCAGACTTGTTCAGGCTTTTTTTTTTTTTTTACACATTTAGTTTTCTTCTCCCTGACACTTTGCTATTGTTCTATTAGCTCTTTTGTGGTTTTCTAATGCAGGACAAGGCTGGATTTCAGAGATGAAGGCTCTGTCAATATAGAATAATCTTAACTTACTACTTAACTTTAAAAAATACTATTTCATTTTATTTTCTTCACAGAAATGAATGCAATGCTGAGATATAAGCCTAATATTGTGTATATTGTGTAGTTTTCCACCCCTTAACATCAACAAGGCTTCAAACCCCTAGTAGGGGCCCGACACCGAGGTTGGGAGATACTGAATAACTTCTGTTATGAATTGGCGCCATACAAATAAAATTGAATTGAATTGAATTGAATTATATCATGGTTCCAGAAGGTTTGGTAACTGAATTTATTTCTCACTATTTTCAGAACAAATGAAACTTGAAACCAGTTCAGAGCTGATACGAACCATCCAGAGGAGGACTGAGTTCTGCTGCCACACAGGAAGAGGAAGCCGAGCCACCAGCTGCTGACTCAGCATCTGACAAACAACAACAAGCACTGAGACACAAACACTATAAATCATATCTTCATTATCTTTAGTCGACAGTAACAGTGACTCAGCTAAAGGTCTGTGAGCTCACTGATTAAACTGTTGGACTGATTTTTGAGGACAGGGTTTTGAGACATCGTAGATGTATCAGGTATCAGGTCTCTCCAGGTGTGATCGCAACACAAACTAATCAATCACATCATCTAATCCACAAATTTTGCAAATCATTGCAGTTCCTGAACCTATTCCTGAACCTATTCCTGAACCAGTTCCTGGACCAGTTCCTGAACCAGTTCCTGGACCTGTTCCTGAGCCTGTACGTGAACCTGTTCCTGAACCTGTATCCATTTGGGTCCTCTTCCTGCTACCTCACACAAACCTGTTAACAATAAAGGACTAAGTGTTTCCAGGTACCTGTGTTCAGGTAGACAGCCTGGAAGCTGATGATGGAGGCCTGGTAGTCCTTCTTGTTCTTACTGTCAGCCGGCAGAGCCGAATCAGCTGGACAGACAAACACCAGACAAACAAACATGGTCAACAGGAAACAGACTCGCTGACTGTCGCTGTATTTAGTTGTGACTTCGGTTTCTTACTGATGGTGAACTTTTGTCCTCCAAAGTCGAACACGAAGCTCCTCTGCTGTTCGTTGTAGGTTAGCCCCGCCCCACAGATACGATTGGCTGTTCCCTGTCCAATCACATCCCAGTCCTGGTCCCCGCACATCAAGACTGACGGAGCTCTCAGCCAACCACAGAGCAGAGACCCTGAGAGGGGAGGGGCTCCAAGGTTTCATTCAATAATTCACTCATTCATCAAATCCAACATTTTATGAACATTTTCATCTATTCTGTTCTTTTATTCCGTTCCTTAATGTGCTCACTCAAATCATTCTTTCATTCCCCCATTAATTTAGGCGCCCAGTTCACTCAGTGTACTCACTAATTCATTCACCCTATTCATTCCCCTGTGCTTCACTCACTCACTCACTCGACATGCACTCTGTGTCACCGTGGTAACTGACCTCCGTTCAGGCTGTTCTGGTTGAGGATGAATCCGTGGCAGCAGGCGTCGCGGCTGCAGCCGTCCTGACAGAAGCGGTGAGCGTCGGAGAGCGAGGTCTGTCTGGAGGAGAACACCTGGGTCCTGAACACACCTGAGACCGCCTTCATCATCCTCATCCTCACAAAACTCTGCTGCTGCTGCTGGGAGGAAGACTCCGCCCCTGAGACACACAGACACAGACACACCTTAACACCTGAACAGTAATGTATGAGTGTGTGTTTGTTGCCGTGGTTACAGTACCTTTCTTCCTGATGACCAGAAGATCTGAGGCACCGCCCCTCACCTTCACCGAGCAGCTCAGCCAATCAAACAGCTCGGACTCAGGATTACCCAGAAATCCACTGGTCTGTACAAAATAAAATGTTTAATCAACTTTTACGAGCACAAACACAACGGTTTAGTGTGTGTGTGTGTGTGTAAGTGTGTACCTGCTGGGAGGTATTGCAGTGTGTGTTCAGTGTGTGTGTGCTGTACAGTTCACACTGAGTCTGTCTGTTGAACAGCGCCACATGGTGGCAGGACAGCTCCACTGCACACGCTGAGAGAGAGACGATAGACAAACAACGTTATGAAGCCTCCAAGCTCCGACCTCTGACCTTTAAAGCACCGCTAATCTGTCACAGTCGCTGGTTAGTCGACTTTATGACCTTTGTTAACTAAGCTAGCATAGCCCTGATCAACCAAACNNAAGCATTTTAAAAGTTGTTTGTTTATTAATTCAGACTTTTTGCAAAGTTTCATCATGTAGTTATTTAAAGTACTCTTTGTTCACTTATGTGACAAACATTTGAATCCTGTAACTCTATTATTGTGTGTGTGTGTGTTGTGTGTGCTGTGTGTGTGTGTTGGTGTGTGGTGTGTGTGTGGGTGTGTTCCCTTTGATGCAGGTTGTGAGGGTCAGAGGTCATTGTTTGCAGCGACGTTCAGTGTCTTCAGCACCGACGATCAGATCTGATCCAGGAAGCAGCCTGAACCTTGCTTAGGAACTGCACACGCACAACAAGGTTAGTTACAGCTTACTAAACCAAATCAAACCTCATAAAATAAGAATAAAACTGACGTCAACAATATTGTGTGCTTACAAAATGAACAAAAATAAAATAAAAACATACAGAGAATGTCGTTAGCTTTGTTTTTTTATCAACAAAAAACTGAATAAAAACTGATAAAAAGAACAGCCGCTCTCTCATTGGCTGCTGAGATGTCACCTGAGCACTCATCATCAGTCAGTGGCTCGTCACTGTTGGTCCAGTCAAGCCCTGCCCCCTCGCTGTCGACACACCTCCACCTGCCAGACAGGAAGTCAGGCTGCGCCAACAGGAAGTCACCTTGCTCCGAACAGCGCAGGCCCCGCCTCTGACACTCGGTCACACCTGACACACACACACACACACACACACACACACGTAAACAAGTTTCAGAACAAAAGCATTTTAAAACCTGTTTGAAACAGCGTGAATGTGCTTCTAGTGACTATGTAAACCGTGATTTTGTAGATTAGCTGAGAGGGAGGAGCTAGCAGAACTGAAGGGTGGTGTTCTTAAAGCTTTCATTTTGTGCTGGTACTGGCGGCCCCTGTGGAGAAAAGCGGTAGTGTTTCTGCTCCTCATTTTATTGATTCTGACTCACATTGATTGGCAGATGATGCTCCAGCTGGTGAGGAGCCTCTGGGACACTTGTTGCAGAAGTCCTGCCCTTCCTCATCCTGATAGGTTCCCTCGGGACACAGAAGACACGCCCTCTCCCTGGAGAGACTCCCAGCTGGACAAACGACTGTGAGATCAGAGACAGAAAGTCCGTTCAGTGTCTGTCAGTGGGACCTACCTGAGGTACGTCGGTCACCGACCGACATAAACCGACTCACCGCAGCCGTCGCCGTCACTGTCCAGGTGGAAACCCCGGGAGCAGCCAAAGCTTGGTGTTGTCATGGAAATCAGTTTGGGTTCTGATGTAAGCGTGGACCGGATATTACCCAGAAGTCCCCGAACCCCCTCCAGAAGTCTGGACTCATTCAGAAACAGACCTAAAGAACACGTCAAAGATGGGTTTATATGTATCAATGACTTTTTATTGCTTTTGATTTCCAATTTCAACACCAGCTAACATGATGATGCTGACTGCAGTTCACTGAATGACCACTGGTGGCGCTGCTAACTACAGTTTAATGACACTATAGAAGTCCTGTTAACCAGTAACAGTTTTGTTTTCCTTTGTACAGGATCTTCCTCACTGCTCACCGACGTCGTGGAGGTCGGGGAGGTCAGAGGTCGGGAGGTCAGACAGGTCGGCGGTCCATCTGACCGTTAGCTTCAGCTGGTCATCATCGTTACACTGCAGACGCAGCGACGAGTCGTCACACAGCGACACCGAGCGACCTGACGTGGGAAGCTACAAACACGCAAATAAATACACAGGTTAGTTTTACTGGGAACATTTCACTGAGTTTTACTGAGATTACTGCTCACCTGTGCAGAGCAGAGCCCCCTGCTGGTCATCGTGTTGAACAACAGAGACTGTAAACTGCTGATCTGAGAGCAGGACGACGACAACAACCAGAGCTGAGAGGACGACACTGACTGTAGAGGCTGAGAGACTGAACACAGACACAGAGTCAGAGTCAGATAAGAGTTTTGTTTAGAGATTCCTGTCATGCATTGACTGTTTACCATCCACTGTTTAGATCTTGGTGCTTTTTAACTCTAGATTTGAACCGGATAAGTCCATCGGACGGTCTGGATCTTAAGTTATCAGAGAAAAAAGCTGAGCTAACGTTAGCAGCAGCTCGGCTCGCAGCCCCTCCGGGACGTCCTTTGTCTGTCCAACAGCGTGGGAGACAGTGATTTTAAGGTGGAACTGCTTTATTCAGTGTGTTTAGTGGTTTTAATCAGCGGGTCTGTTTGTTTTGGAGAGGAGGAGACCTCTGTGGATAATTTCTGGTCAGATTACTGGACTTCACTAAAACTTTTACTTTACTATATGAATCAAATAGACAGTATACTGACCTATGCCCTGTATCTGTGGATAAGTAGGCTCCTGGTAGAAACTTCCTGAAAGTTGAACCTAACATCATGGTGAAGACAAGAACTCCCACGCTGCTTCACCACCTCATCAAACTTCCTCTTTTATTATTATTTAGATGTGAGAGACCCCTTAGTTGCAGAAATTACACACTGTATGTTTACTGTTTGGTTCGGGGTAAAAAAGCAAAAGCAGCATCTTTTCTCAACAGGTTAGTTTTTGGACAAATGAAGAGATGGTTACCAATCAGCGAGGAAACTGACGAGGATTTTAAAAAATGATGAGCGATCTTACTCTGACAGGCTCCACTCAGGGGTTTGTTGTCTCCGGTCCACCGCAGACCCTCAGTCTCACACAGGAAGCTGCTGACAGGAAGCGAGTTCCGGTAACCGTGGTGACAGACGAGGTCGCAGCTCTGGAGGCCGTCGGCTGCCGGGCGGCACACTAGTGCACCATGGTTGACAGCGGAAGCGGGACAGAGGGGACCTGGAGAGGAGAACAACAACCAATCAGCAGCCTCATCGCAGTGCATCTTGCTGCAGTTCCTCTGACGTCCACCAGACACAGCAGCTCTCAGCAGAGCCACTGGCCTTCTTCACAACAACTTACGGTCACACGACGGTGTCTGTCCCGTCTGTCGAGACGTACGGCTCCCACCCACTTCCTGCCCGTCCTCGGAGACACACCAACAGGAAGTGACATCACACTGCAGTGGGAGGAAGGAGCCGTCGGGGCGACACTGGAAACCTTGCAGCTCACACAAGCTAGGACCTGAATGCACCACACAAAGTATACCAGTTAACATACTGACAGTGAACACATCACGGTCAGCTGTGTGTGTGTGTGTGCGTGTGTGTACATGTCAGCTGTCCTGCGGGGTTCAGTGTTGCCGCCTGTATCGTCTCTCTGGTCAGAGGGTTCACACACCAGCCTGCAGCACCTCCTGTCTGCAGCACCGAGAAACGACCGTCCTGAAAGAACAATGGAATGGGTGAATACTCAATTCTGATTGGCTGCTGGGTGTCCATTACTACGTGATGTAGGACACGTACTAATAAGTTCCAGCAAAACTCTCTGGTGATCGTTTTAAAATAATGCCAAAGTGTTGTCCTTCAGTGGCTCAACGTCAGCTCTCGGCTCGTAGCGTAGCATTAGTGTGTCCCTACCTGCTCACACTGGGGGTTGTACGGTGAAGCGGTGGTGAGGTCAGATCCTCTCGTCCAACCAGAGAGCAGAGCGTGAGCCTGAGCTCTCTGACAGCGAGTGAGACCTGCGCACACACAGAAGAAGACATTTTAAACTCTCGGGCTGCCTTTATTCTAGATCTTTCTATCAAATCTCACGTTCGGACTCAAACCAACAACCTGTCAGTCCGTCTCACAACACTGTCTCACTTCCTGTCTGAAGCTCATTGGTTTAAATGTTTAAAAGTGTTTAGTGAGTATTTGGGGCAGCAGTGTGGCTCATCGATGTGTTATTGAAGCTGTATGGCACAGAGGAAGAAGATATATCCGATACATTCACTGTTTGAGTCTGAACATGAAGAGAAAATCTGAATATTTTAATAACAAATACGTGTTTTTGGAACAGAACATGAAGCTTTATCTCACATTTGGGCAGACGGAGTGAGCGGCTGGTCAGCGAGTCCGGGATGTACTCTCCATCTTCATCGACACACCAACACTGACCTGAACACACAGTGAGGAAGACTCCAGTGACTAATCTTCATATGTATTTTATGTGTGTGTGTGTGTGTGTGTGTGTGTGAGGGAGACAGAGAGGTGAAAGTACACGGAGGTCCTACACTGCTCTCGGGACAGGAGGATTATTGGTGTGTGAAGACACCAGATGTTGGTGGTAATAATGTGATGATTGTAAGTGCACACGTGCACATATGTGGCGCTCCAGTGTGCGTGTGTGTGTGTGTGTGTGTGTGTGTGTGCGGGTGCTTGACGTGTAGTCAGCTGGGACTTGAGGTGATAATTAGATTTCAATTACAGCCTTGAAACCGTTCTCCTCCTCTCCCATTTCATCACTTTTCCATTTCTCCACTCTGAATTTTCCTCTCTGCTCCGTTCCTCCCATTTCTTTCCCTTCTTATCCCCTGTTTTCCTCCCTCCTCTTCCCTCTTTCATATCTCCTCCCGCTTCCTCTCCTCTATTATCCTTTTGTTTCCTCCCTCTCCTCTCCTTCGTCTCCTCCTCTCTCCTCTCCTCTGCGCTTGTTTCCTCCCTAGTATCCGCTCCCCTCTCCTCTTCCCTCTCCATATTTCCTATGTTCCTCTCCTATCGTCCTGTTTCCTCACCTCCTCTCCTCTCTTCCTCTCCTCCCCTCTCTCCTTTCCTCTTTTCACCTCCTCCTCTCCTCTTCTCTCCTCTCCTTTCCTCTGCTCTTGTTTCCTCCATAGTATTCGCTCCTCTCTCCTCTTCTCTCTTCATATTTCCTACGTTCCTCTCCTATCCTCCTGTTTCCTCTCCTCTCTTCACCTCCTCTCCTCTCCTCATCTTTCCCGTCCTCCCCGTTCTTCCTCTCCTCTCCTCTCCTCTCCTCCTCTTTCCTCTCTCCTCTCCGTTCCTCTTCTCTCCCCTCTCCTCCTCTCTCCTCTCCTTTCCTCTTCTCTCCCCTCTCCTCCTCTCTCCTCTCTCCTCTCTCCTCCTCTCTCCTTCTGTCCTCTCCTCCTCTCTCCTTCTGTCCTCTCCCCTCTCCTCCTCTCTCCTCTCCCCTCTCCTCCCCTCTCCTCTCGTGTGTGTTTGCCTCTGAAACATTCCAGCAGTGCCATGGAAAAGGAAAAAATGCTTCTCCTCAAATGCCAGAACAGATCAGCTCTGAGTGCTCGTCCACTGCACACTGACAAAGAGAAAGGGGAGGTGGGTAGAGGGGGTGGAGTTAAGGAGGCTACAACTGGAGAGGAAAAAGTGCGAAGAGTGCAGGACAGAAGGAGAAAACATGGAGATTACGAGTGCAGGCAGGTAAAGAGACAGGAAGTGATGGAGAGAGGTTAAAGGGTGGAGTTTATGAACAGTGTGTGTGTGTGTTGTGTGTTGTGTCGTGGTGTCACTGTGTAATGCAGGTTTATGTTTGAATAATTGAACAGGAAGCCAGGTGTCGTGCTCCTGAGAATCACTGCCGTCCACACACAACACACACACACCACACATAAACACACACACATAAACACCTCAAACACACACAGTTGCAGGTG